ACCCACAACCCCTGCCCCCCCAGGTCTGCCAGAGGGTCCCCCAGCTGCAAGGGTTATGGGGTCCGGGACCTGGGTCTACAGCCTCCTGCCCTGGGCAGAAGGCAGTAGCTGCTGCAGCAGAGCAGAGGGCAGAGCTGGCTCCCTGCCCTGCATGCCTGCTGCAGGCATGAGCGAGGGAAACTCCCTGCTGCATCATGCATTCCCAGGAGGACAGTGGGCACCCGTGCCCCCCAGATTTATGCATAGGGCCAGGGCGTACTACACGCTCCATCTTTACTGCTCCGAGCTGCAGAAGGAGGAGGTCCATTCCCTGTTCCAACAATATCATAAAATGGGCATGTAAAGAATTGTGATGGGGAGAGGAGATAGGAAGACCATGATATTTTATACAATATAATTGTACTCCTTATCTTGCTCTCCTCCTCTAGGCTATGCACTCCAGCAATGCATTTCATCAAATCTTGGAAAGCTTTTAAGTCAGCTGTTGAGCAAAGTATGAAAGAAATTACTACCTCAGTCAGAGTACGATAAACAAAATTACAAGTGATGAGCTGTTCTTACATGTTAATCCTCTTTGGCTGCATCAGAATCTGGCAGTGGCGAGAGATGTGCGGGTGTGAGCCCTCTATGCCCTCACTCCCTGAAGCCCCCCAGTGACCCCGGAGCACCCTGCCGACCCCCAGCACAGCCGGAGGTAAGCAGGGCCCGTGGTAGGAGGGAGTTAACCCCAGACAGCGGACAGGAGATGGCTGAGTGGGGCCGAGGAGGGTGTCGCCCTGCCCCAGCCCCTACTTGGTACAGCCCCCCAGGGAGCCATGAGACCAGAGCCTCGTGAACAGGCCGCGCAAACAGGCACACTTGTCTGCCCGGCATGTGAGTTAGCGTGGAGTTTGCGCAGAAGGGTGAGCGGGAGGGCCCGAGGCCCTACCTGTGCACCCTAGGGAAGGCAGTCCCAGCTGCAGCCAGTCTCCCAATTGAAGACGGACACGCGCCACAACCCAAGGGTCCCCTTGGGGTCTGCAGCCCCCAACCCGGCACCTCAGAGGCCTCCACCCAGATGCAGCCTCTGGCTCCAGGCTGCGGGGGCTGCCTGTCACTTTTCCAGGCTCTGGGGTCTGGGAGCATGGCCACCTCCCCTTGTGGGGTCTGCTCCCTTTTGGGGTCTCTGGCGTGCCAGCTGGAGGAGCTCCAGGCCACAGTTCAGAGACCGCACACCATCAGGGATGGTGAATGGGAGGTAGACTGCCAGGCCTTCTCCCCCAGGAGGCAGAGGGTAGACTATGGTCACCCTCCAGGACAAGGGTTGAGGGCGCAGGTGGCGTTCTCTTTGATCCTCCCAGTTTCAGGCTATGGGCTGAGGAGGGAGAGGAGGATCCAGGTAGTGAACCAAAAACTGCAGCACTGTTGTCATCAGGAAGGCTTCACCTTCCATGACCACAGCCCGCTCTTTGGCGAGAGAGGCAGCGAGCTGCTAGGAAGAGACGGCCTCCACCTCTCTCCACTGGGGAGGAGGCTCTTCTCAGCCAGACTGGCTGACCTGCTCCACCGGGCTTTAAACTAAGCCTGCCAGGGGATGGGGGGACTACCGCCACTGCTGGCCCGCTGAACAACCTGTGCAAAGCCAGCAGGCCAAGGCACTTAAGGGAGCCCACCCCTGCCCCAACCCAGGAACAACCTGCAGGCAAAGCAAGGGCCCCCAAGGGGACACTTGCCTGCCTGCACACAAATGCCAGGAGCTTGGGGAATAAACAGGAGGAACTTGTCCTCCTGCTTAACAAGAATGACTATGACCTCATAGGGATAACAGAGACCTAGTGGGACTCCACCCATGACTGGACCACAGGTATAGGCGGCTATACCATGTACAGGAGAGATTGAGTGGATAAAAGGGGCAGGGGTGTAGCTGTCTATGTCAAGGAAAGCTACATGTCCCTGCAAGCTGATATTGGTGACCAGGGTGCATGGCTGGAGACCCTCTGGGTTAAAATCCATGGGGAACACGACAGAGGGGACACAACGGTGGGAGTCTACTACAGGCCTCCCACCCAAAGTCCTGAGCTTGACCAGGAGTTTGCCCGGGAACTGGCTGAGGCCGCATGCTCCAGGACCATAGTTGCCATGGGCGACTTCAATTACCTGGACATCTTATGGAAGGATCACTCAGCAAAATCCAAGCGGTTGCAAAGCTTCCTCTCGTGCGTGGATGACCTCTACCTGACTCAAGAATTCTATGGGCCAATGAGAGGTAAAGTGCTGCTTGACCTGGTACTGGCAACCAGGCATGACCTAATCAACAACCTAACAATCAAAGGGAAGCTGAGTGACAGCAACCACTAGCTGATCACTTTCACCATACGCCATACAGCTGGCAAGTCGGTCAGCAATACAGAAGTCCTCGACTTCAGGAAAGCTGACTTTGACAAGCTCAGGAGACTTGTTGGTGAGGCCCTAAGGGACCACAACCCCAAGGGGAGGGGAGTTCAGGAAGAGTGGCTGCTCCTCAAGGCAGCGATCTTGGATGCGCAAGCTAAATCTATTCCGTCTTGGAAGAAAGGCAGCAAAACGGCACAGCAGCCCCCTCGCCTCAGCAAGGAACTAGCAGACCTCCTGCATCTAAAAAGAAAGATCTACAAAGGATGGAGAACGGGATCCACCTCCAAGGAGAAATATTCTGCACTGGTCTGGACCAGCAGGGAGCAAACCTGGAAAGCTAAGGCTGAGACAGGACTCCAACTGGCTACAAGCATCACGGATAATAAGAAGTCCTTTTTTAGATATGTGGGGACCAGGAAGAAAAGCAAGGGCAACACTGGACTCCTGCTGAACCAGATGAGGCAACTGACAACCGATGCCCAGGAAAAAGCCAACTTGCTAAATGGGTACTTTGCGTCTGTCTTTCACCAGTCCCATAGGATGCCCCTGCCCATTACGGGACAGGGAGGCCCGGATAAGGGAGATTCCTTGCCCTCCATCAATGCTGACCTCGTGAAGGAACACCTTGAGAGGCTGGACACCTTCAAGTCA